GCTAACCATCCGGGTGATAGGGATACGGTGGCCTGTCTTCACTCGCCATCTTGACGGGCCCTGAGTAGCAGCTGTGTAGGATGAACCCAACGTAAGAATGTCTATATAGCCGGGGCTTTATGGTTGGTTTTTCTCCCTCATCTTGCTTGATTGGAAGCCCCGTCGGAGTGCACATGTCACTAAAATTGTTGGATTCGCCATATGGAACCTTCTTGCGGATACCAGTGTTGGAAGTTGTGGCACTTGAAACACGGAAGCCTGGTTGCTGATGCGCTTGTGTTAGAGGGGTTCCAGGGGTTGAACAAGAAGCTATGAAAAGGAGGTCAGGGCGATGCCCGCCACTGAGGATGAAGACGGAGCATGATTCAAATTCTTTCTCCCGATCTTTCTGTCTGAGTGTCGTTTCCAACAAAAACCACCGGCTTGGGATCTCGTAACGCAACAAAGGAAAGTATTTCGAAAGACAAAACCAAACAGTGTCCCTCTGAGCCGGCAACGTACCCGCTACAAGTCCCGCCGGACTGCGGCGTGGAATCCCCTGCGCAGTCCTCTTTTCGTACAGTTGCTACCAGCACTTCCGTCCGAATCCTGATTCGTGATTAAACTCGTCGCCTTTCCAATCATATTCGATATTCTGAGAATAGCCTCCACTGCGACGACTTCTTCCCTGACATTCCAACCCAACTCCGTCGGCAGACGTTCGTTTTCTAATGTAGCAGGGCGGTTAATAGCTGCTATCTGTACGAACCTTTGAAGGGGCCGGAACTTGGTATTGCTAGATCGATTCTACTCACGGAAAAAGTATTCGACCAACGTCCTATTCACAGTGGCCTCTTCAAGATCTCCAAACGCAATAAAGGGGGCCGCCATCTCGCCGAGGCTGAAGTTCTCCACGGACTCAGTGAAGCGATACTCGGGGTTGAACGCCTTAGACTCAATTTGGCGGGCAATCTTGGCGTTGGCCATGTGGGCCGTGGTGATGACGGGCTCGGGCCAGTAGCGGCGGGTTTGGTCGAAAATGGTCTGATTAAAGATGTGGTTGCTCCCGAAGAAGGCGTCGGTGCGGCTCAGGCTGGCGTCGTGCTCGAGGACATTGTGGCGGTTGAGGTGGTCTCTGTATCGGGGCAGATCATCATGTCAGCAAAAGCATCTAGGGTTCCATGGAGCATTGAAAAGTAAACGCCAGGACATGATGGAGCACTGAGACGTACAGAGTGAAGAAGGTGGCATTGGGTTCGGGGTTGGCGACAACAGCCTGGTCGAACATGACGACAGCAAGAGTCGAATCGAAATTCAGCCCCTGCTTCATGGCTTTGATGACGGCTTCTTTAGTGATGGCCCTGCCATCATGGGGTAGGATCCCGTGGTTGGCGAGCGTGTTCATCATCGGACAGGGGCCGCGGACTGAGGCACAACATCAGTAAAGGATTTATGGACAGCTTAATGGACAAGGAATGCTCACGGTCACCGGGGCCAGGGGGGTGCCATGCGGGGATACTAGACGCCTCGGACATAAGGCAGGCGAGGGACAAGCAGCCGAGGAGGGCGGTGGGTGATTTCATTGTGACGAATAAATGGGGTGAACGGGAAAATAACGGTGAATACGTAACTGAAAGAGGTGGATTCGAATGCAATATTTCTCCTAGCCCGACATGCCTGATTTATATCAATGGCCTGCTACCACGGTTGTGATCGGTATACGAGCCACTCGTGTTTCTCGTCTTGCTCGTGTCCGCGGCGGCGTCCCCGTTGTAACTCCACCGGGGATCGTCAAGGCGTAGGCAAGCTTTCGCAACCTCTCCAGGGGCCAGGCTTGCCAGGGTTGGAGATACCATGCCGATTGCTCTCGATACCTAACAACCGACTCATGATTGGATGGTGGCGTTTACCTTGACGTTTGCGCTGCCGCAGAAGAAGGTAATGCCCCCTTGTCGTGGCTGGACCGCGGATCATTCAATGTTGGATATCCTCCATTCCAGCTCCAGACGAGCCACACGAGATAAACGAGAAAATACGAACCGGGTGCTGCAAAACGAATAAAGCATCAACGGATTAATGCGAGTCTGCCAAATCTGTTAATCTTCTGTATATATCTAACCTGAAGAATTCCATGGCCATTCATTCAAACTCCCAGTCAACGTCCCAAGCTGTCTCCTTCCAGCCCCCTCCGGCGTCATCCAACCAATCTCGCTCTCGACGACCTGCGATTCCATCGTTACACACACCATGCACAAATCAAATACAGGGCTGCTCGACCCAAAATGGAAATTCCGGTGGCATATTGTGGTGCTATTCCTCGCCATCGCGGTCATTGTGCTCACGGGCATCTACATCAACATAAGCGCCTTCTTCACCCGACCTGACATCATGGCGATTCCTTTTGTGAGTGCTTCTATCATCGAGTTTTCGCCTCACTACCACGATGCGATGTAGCAGGACCAATTCACTAACACAAATCTCGCGTGCAGGCCGTCAAAACACTCGTCTTCATTGGGTACCAACTGCTCAGCGAACACACGGAGCGGTTCGCCAAGTGGAAGAGCCTAAAAGCGAACTTGATTTTGAACTGCATCGAGCCTGTCTTTTGGCTCACCCTCGTCATCCTCAAGTTCATGGGAATCTCGAGGTTTTGCAGTGGGGGCGGTTGCGCTGTGACTTGGATCATCACCATGGTTGCCATTGCCATTTTGTAAGTTGTGTGATGGGGGGTTATCCGTGTTGGGTAGCGCCCTTCGCGCCTAAGAGTTAGCGTGCTAACACGTAACTATGTATTTACAGAGTTTTGTCTGTCCATGTCGCAATTCTTTCATTCCGGCAATACCGCGAGTCGAAGCAGTTTACTCCTCCCCAATCCGGGTACGCTGGGTACGCGGGCTACCCCTGAACCCCTGATCGAGGCGACGGCGGATGTGGTTTTAGAATTATGGACGTTGTGTGAGGAACCATGGGATAAGAAAGGAAAATAGAATTCATTTAGTTAATTAACTGACTCGTTAACTAGTTATTCGTATTTGTTAATAATCAGCGCTTGGGGACAACCTTACCTATCCTGGCAAGACGTTTCGGAAAATGCCGAATTGGGCCGAGATGGGAACAGCTGCTTGAACGCGCGTCTTCCGCGTATCACCCGCCCCACTTTCGCTCTCGTTACATACAGTCTCGTAACTCTCGTCTTTTTCGTTCTTCGGTCGCTTGGTCTTTTCGTACTCTTTCCCGATTTGGACTTTTCGTTGACAAAAAAAAAAAAACATGGGGACATCGTTTGACTCGCTCCAGTTCGCTGACTACCGAGGCCTCGGCGCCAATATTCACGGAATCGAATGATGGCACGTCCATTCAGGTTGCTTTCTCAATCCCTGAACCGTCCCAAAACACCAGAAAAAAAGTGACGAAAGCTGTGAGACGAGCCCACGAGAAATCCCGGACTGGTTGCCGGACCTGCAAGAGGCGCCGTATTAAGGTAAGAGCATCAAAAAGGAGAAAAAGAGAAATGACAAAAGCTATACTGAAATGGGTTTCAATAACGATCTCCATGACCGGCCGTTGACGCATCGCAGTGTGACGAAAAACGGCCATCATGTCGGAACTGTGAGAAACATGCCGTCCCTTGCGACTTCGTCCCATCCCAGACCTCGGCGGCATCCACGCCTCTTAGTGTCCAACTTTCGCCGCCATCACAATCTCCCGCCGCTATCAACATGATGGATCTCGAGCTCATGCACAACTTCACAACATATACCTGCACGACCTTGGCGAGCGACCCAGCAGTCCGGCAGTTTATGCGGACCACTGCCGTCCACATGGCTACGAACTGCGAGTACGTTATGCGTTCCATCCTAGCCGTGTCGGCCCTTCACCTTTCCAGGTTTCGGCCTCAACACAAAAAGACCTACCTCGAGCGTGCCATGCAGCACCACCAAGCCGCAACCTCGACGGCCCTCCATCTCATGACTGACTTGAGAGCTGAGGAGTGTGAAAGGCTCCACATCTTTTCCATGCTCACGGTCTACTACGGTGTGTTGTCGTCCCTTGACCAGGTATTCTTGGGTTTCTAACGTCCCTCTTCGTCTCTGGTAATAGCTCTAGGATGCTCCGTCGACGAAGCCGATCAAGCCCCTGAGAGCCCCCTAATCCCCCACTGGCTGCGACTCCTGCATGGCATGGAACCGATCCTGGACATGCTCGAACCGCGAACGTACCGCGGGATACTGACGCCGCTGTTTGACTTTGGACGGAGAAGAATGACACCTTTCCTAAGAACAACGCCCCCCAGTGACCCAGGCTTGCTGGCGGACATCCAATTTCTCATTCACCGTCGCTGCACCGACGCCTCTCTTCTCCCCATTTACGACGACATGATTGAGCAACTCCGCCGTCTGCTCGCCTTAATCTTGACGCCACCCAGTGGCACCGTAGGCGCAACGCCTGTCCGTCCTAATCTTCATAGCGATGAAGAAGGGCCAGTCACTGCACAATCACCCAACGTGAACGAGTCACCAGCAGCAGAGACTCCCTCGGCAGTACCACCGATATGGACGAAACTCGAAGCGTGGGACATCCTAGTCTGGCAGTGGACGCAGGGAAAGGATTTCCTCCCGCTGCTCGAGGTGGTCAATCCGCCACAGGAAGCAGTGGTCATATTTGCCTACTGCCTGCTCGCACTGAGGAAGCTGGAGAACCAGTGGTGGGTGGAAGGTTGGGCCGACCATCTCATGGGCAAGACGTGGTTGTTGCTGGATGAGGAACATCGCCATTGGGTTGTTTGGGCGACCGAAGAAATGGGCTGGATCCCCCCGAGATGAATGGAGGAGGAATGGGTGGATGGCCTCCCTAGGAAAGGATAGCATGACTCAGGAGAGCGAGGCAGCCTCTTAATATCGCATGTAATCACATGAACGCCGACAATTGGGCGTTTGAGACGTTCTAACTGAGCCTCCTTGAGCAGATACATGTACCATGGGTTCATGTGCTCGCAGCCAACCGAAACATCACAACCAACCATGTCGACGCCAGCTTCTATCACCAAGAATGCATTATGGCGGTGGGAAAGATTTTCCCTTCCCTAAGCATCTGAAACTCGAGCAATATGTCCTGGTATCCATCCGATGTAATCTTTTCGTTTCTATGCCCAACCACCTCGTCAAACCACTGGCCCCATCCGCACCATCCCCACTCCGCTGCCTTCTCGTCGCTGACCCCCTGGGTGTTCGGTAGCTTCGTCAGCTTGCGGCCCTTTTTGTCCCTGGGCGGCTCGACGACAGAAGCCGGGTCTGGCTGGATGCCAAAGACCGCGATTTCACGGGCTTTCAAGGCCATAACGAAGTCCACGGCGGCCTCTAGCTTAGTCTCGACGACGTTTTCTGAGACGTACTTCATTTTCTGGGCGGCCATCTCGGCGTCGAAGGAGATCGGGGCAGAAAGGCCATCCTCAACGCCGGTGCGGACCAGATAGACCGGGAAGCGGCCCGCCGTGGAGGAGTCCTCGCCGTCGTAATCGGCGCAGCTGGTAATAGCGATAAGAGCTTTGTACAGCGGCTGGAGTGCATACTCCTTATAGCGTACCACCCCTGTGCGCCGGCTGTCGTTGTCATTCCAGTCGTTCTTTCTCTTCTTTTTCTTGTTGTTCTTCTTCTCCGTCCTCTTGGCCCCCCTCTTGCTTTTAGTCCGCTTGTTGGCCGCCCTGAGTAGCTGTTCGGTTCTTGCGCAGAGAATGCCGTGGAATGTAGCGAGAGTATGGATGGTAGGGTCTGGCGGTGGCCTGTTGCGTGAATTCCAATTCGGGTTTTTCTGGACCGCCGCCCGGGGGTTTGTACATGACGGGGCTGCGACGATACTCAGCCTTTGGAGAATCTTCACCGGCCATCTTGATGGTAATTTTGGATCGGGCCATCGTACGTAGGTCGTGAGAGCACGCTGAGCATGGAAGCCATGCAGCCAATTAGGACACAAGAAGAACGGAAGTGATCAGTGTGATCAGTGTCTTCAAACTCGGGGGGACACTGAGCACACTGAGCACTCAGGAATTAGCTAGGTATATAGTCACTCGTTCTGGAGAGCTCTGGGAGTTCTCCAGTTAGCAATCACAACTACAGTTCGCTACAAGCTCGTGAAGCCTACTGTTCAGACAAGTCTTTGTTGTGCACCTTTTGGCTGACCGAACCTAAGCACCCTTGAGAGATTACCTTCAACCGAAGCTGAACCCTAACAGGGCAGCGTCCTGAAGTAGGTTCGTCACATCAGATGCTTGTTCCACACCGGTGAACTGATATTGTGGGTTCGATGGAGTCGGTTCTTTTTTGGAAGAGGGTTATAACATGAGATGATTAACATCAGCGAACTGAAATTTGCATTACATATGATAGATACATGAAAGATCCCCGTCAAAGGTACGGCCGTAGAATTTCCTGGGTATGGCCCCAAATCTTTTCCCTTGCCGTCCCCCTTAGCTTAGTCATGACACGCTCGTTCGGTGTGCTGTTGCAGTTCCAGCTAACGTGAAACAAACCCCTCTTTGCCGCCGGCTCACCACGCGAATTCGCAGCCGGCTCGCCCTTCCACGGCACGCCACGGCCGCCAAAGGCCGCGCTAGTGGCCCCGAATAGATTCCTCTGCCCGGACCTCTCATCGCTCATTGCAAATGCGCGGACAAACCACCCCAAGATAGTCTCGAAGACCCAGGCCAGAATGCCCGACTTCGCATCGAACGTCCTGCCCAGATTCCCCGTATTGACCGACCCAGGCGACGAATGGATGAACACCACATTCGGGTTCTCGTCCGCCAGTTTCTCCAACCCCAGCGAGTTCATGGTGCCGAGTTGCATCTGGCCCTTCATCAGGCCAAAGCTCCCCGGCTTCCGGAGATCGGGATCGTCCGTGTCGATGTTGCCCCTCGACATGCCGCCCGACAGCACGCTCACCACCCGCGGGGCCTCGGCCTGGTTTAACAAGGGGAGGAGGTGCTGGACGCAGAGCAGGCGCGAGTAGTACTCGAGGCTCTGCGAGATGTCGATGCCCTCAGTCGTCTCGACGCGCTCGCCATAGGGTGCGTACCCCGCCGTGAGGAAGACCAGGTCGATGTGGCGTTCCTTGCTCTTGATCTCGTTGCAGATTCGTTTTACGTCGGCGAGGAGGGAGATCTCGCCCTCGGTCCAGATGATTTGGGCTTTGGGGTTCACGGCGTGCATTTCTTGGATGAAGGCTTGCATGCGCTGTGCCGAGCTTTTGCGCCCGACGAGGTAGATCTTGACGCTGGCGCCGGTGCCGACGAGGGCGGTGATGGTGAATTTGCCGACGCCAGCGGTGCCGCCGAGAAAGACGGAGACGCGGGGCGCTGTGGCATCGTTGATTTGCGCGTTGGACGCTTCGACTTCGGAGTAGGCGACCATTGTCGGAGACGTCAGAGGAGTTGGGTAATGTTTTGTGGCTTTCTGCATCTGGAATGGGGTGGAGCGAACGCGGCTGAAGGTTACTCTTCTACGAATGCCTTGCTGCCTGCCCGGAAACTTTCAATCGCGCTTGTTGGCCCGAAGGATCATTTTCGGTGTCTCGGACACTTATTATACCGTCCACCTAATTGGAGGCTACCAAAGAAAGCAGCAACAAAATGCAGTGCCACACACATACGTTCCCAGAAAAGCAAAGGGTGTATGGGGTCAGAAACTCTTTTAATTACGGACTTCGTATGATGTAGTTGAAACAATTGGTCTGGGAAGGGACGAGAAAGGTTGGTGCCTGCCTGAACTCCAGGTTCCTTAGGTCAAAAATGCCATGGCCTGCTCTAAGCACGGACCAGTTTTTTCTCCATAAAAGAAACCCAAAAAAATTGGTGTCATTTCTAACCTGTACTGTCGACTTCTCACTGTAGAATTTTGGCTTTTTTCTCCTTTTCGACTTCTCTCGATAGCATCTCGATGTCTGGCGTCATCTGCATTCTGCTTCCTCTCATCAGCATCTCGCAGTTGGTCTTGGCGGTGGTGGTGCACGGATCATTTGATGCTTGACACCTGGCCAATCGGATCGCCGGAGAAAAGCCGCTAACCCGCACTTGGCATCAGGGTCGCTGTGACTCGCTGCTTCGCTCCTGCTTTTGCATGCCTCCGTCGCGCATTCCTTGACAATCACGAACACGAACCAAAAAATCGGATTTCTGTCAAAAAGTGGCGAAAGATGAGGTTTGCAGGGTCAACATCTATTATGGGTTGACTATACTACTAGAGCGACGCACCCGCTTCTTCGTCAGCAGCTTCAGTCTGCGCTGATTCGGCCATGACGTCCCATTCCTGGAACCACGACTACAGAGAACAACGTCAACATTGCCAATATTGCCTGGCTCAGCAGGAAGGATACAAGCAAGGCCTACGGCTCGATGGTCGTCTACGTGACGAAGGGTAGCGAAGCAAATTGCTTCTTTGACGCACAAAATACACGGAGCCTATCAGCTCTGTGAGATTACGCCACAGAGGTTAATCTTTACGGGATCTGATTACTGAAGCCCCTAGATGACGATATAGCTTACTGGAGACTCAAGAATGCGGCGTCATACATTGGCGATGAGGTCAAACCGGTGCTAGAGGCCGCCTTTTTTACACCGCGGTGCTCCATTTTCCCAATCCAAGGAACTCAATACGTCCTTTCCATCCCGATTTTCTGACCTAAACTACAATCATCTCCTGATACTGTTTATAATTCCATTGCAGTCACGGTGGCTTCTTCTTCCGCCTTTAACAATTACATCGTTGACTCCGCTATGGGGCCTACCTGCAGCCGGCAAGTTCCTTCCTTTTTGAGATCTGGAAATGCACCTTGCCTTCAGCCAATCGCAAGCCAGAATAGGTTTAGCACCGTTAAATCCGGTATAGTGTAACGGTTAACATATCGCGTTTTCACCGCGAAGCTCGGGGTTCGATTCCCCGTACCGGAGATTTTTCTTTTTTTGCTTTATTTCAGTGCTAAACTTTAAAATTGCCAGGAGCGGGAGAGAGGAAGGAAGCGCCCCGGAGCGTAGAAGGAAGCGCCCCGGAGCGTAGCGAAGGGCCGCGCGACTGACGAACGAAGCGACGCCAGCAATTTTAGGACTGTTGACCTGGCGATGTTCAGGGGTTTCTACCGGGGGTTAGGGTTAGCCGAGGGTCACCGAGGTCTGCAGGGCTCAGCCCGTTACAGTTACACAGCATGTTTGCCATGAGGAGGGAAAAGGGGTCGAGGGCTTTGTCTTCTGTTGTTGCGTGCTTAACGTGTGTCTTGCCAGTGCCAGGCAAACGAATCGCAACACAGGTTTGACTCCAAGACACATCACATCGGCTGGTTTTTTGGGTTTCCCTTTTTATTGCCCTTATTTTGTTTTCCCTAACTACTACATACACACATACCCACACCCACCCCCCCCCCTTTCATTTTCTCTCCCCGTCCACCCCAAACCAAACCACACCCCCCACACCCACACACAACCCCTCCACCTACGCCAGCGACGCCTTCACATAATCTAGCAACAACGGCCCGACCCGCGAGGCAATGACGCGGTCGCCGTCCAGGTTGGGGTGGACGCCATCGCGCAGATATGAGGTCTGGAAGCCCGTGTAGCAGTCGGCGACGACGATGGGCGACTCGGTGGTGTTGAGCCCGGCGGCCCAGGCGGGGATGCGTGCATTGATGGCCTGGATGGGAGCGTTGGAGAAGGAGAGCGGGATCACGAGGTCGACCTGGGTGGGGGGTTGTTAGTTGTTGGTGCTGGTTCTGGTTCTGGTTCTGGCGTGGTTGTGGTGGTGACGCTGGAATGGGTGCCGGGGTGGGGGACTCACAATGATCTTGGTCTTAGGGTTTGCTGCCCGGATGATGTTGACCATCTTGGTGTAGGCGGCGATGACGTCGTCGGTGGTCTTGCCGCGGACCACGTCGTTGGTGCCGAGCATGAACATGACGATGTCGGCGGGGGTGCTCTTGAGCCAGTTGGTCAGGTAGTTGTTGGCAATGTCGACGGCCAGCCAGCCGGAGTGACCCTCGTGGTGTTGGTCCCAGCCAGCTGTCTTGGGCTGGCAATTTTGTGGGTTGCTGTTTTGCGACCCGACGTACTGCACCTTGTCGGCGAGCCCGGCCTCGGCAAGCTGGTCCCAAACGAAGGCACGCCAGCAGGTGATCTCAGTGATGCTGTCGCCGAGGGGCACTTGGCTCTCGTCAACGGGGTGCTCGAGGAAGTATGACGACTCAGAAAGGGGAAGTTGGGAACTTACTAATCTTCAGTTTCTGAGCTTGACGCTCAACCACTTCTACCGGGCTAGCCAGGGCCAGGCTGGCCAGGCTGAAGGCTGAGATGATGCTTGACACGTGCATGGTTGCGGCTCTGAACTAGCTAAAGCGACTTCTGAAAGCTATGTCGTTAGAGGGACTGTCTGAGCCAGTCGGAGTTTTCTGCAGCATCATGCTGCTTTTATCTTCTCCCCGGACGGCAGAGGGGGAGTAGCAGTGGGGGTACAATGTCAGCCTTGATCGTTTAAACATCCTTCCAGATGCACAAAAGAAGGATCTATTAATTGCACGCCTTTCCTAACTCGGCGCCACCACTACATCGGAATGCCGTGATCAAGAGCCGCAGCGCTATCAAGCCCATTCAATGGCTTCCAGAAGGCCGAATGTGACATTCAGATTCATACGAATCATTCCGAATTGTCATCTACCGGATTTAAAGTTTGAACCAGGTCCTCGGTCGGGCGAGGGGAGCTTCACAAGGCCAGCTACGTATACCATGGGAACTGTTCCGTGCCTATTTCGGCCGTTTCAAATATGTACTCATAAGCAGTGACAGCCAAGCTGAGCCGCCATTGGTGCAAATTTGACATTCACCAGATGAGGATAAATAGGACAATTCCCGGGGCCGGTCCGGAGCTACCGAAGCCTGTCAAGTACCAGGTTTCCCAACTCCAGCCGAGAATCGATCGATATGGAGTAGGGTCGGTGCGGGGCCTTCATTTCGGAGACCCTGTGCTGCGCAACAATTCAATGCTTTGTCGTTGGCTGGGCGAGGCGGGCTACTAGGTATGTTGTGCAGCGACTGCGTTGACATGTTCTTCGTAGAGGTCCTACGAAGCATAGTGATTCCGGTCACCCGACTTAAGGAGTCAGATATAAGTGCCGAAGCCCCCTAGTCAGGGGACGGAATAACACGTGGACGCTAGCTTCCGGAAGACAATTACTGTGCAGGCATTTTTGGCAAAAGATAAACAAAATAAAAGAGGAGGCTCCCCAAAGAGGCTCCATTCCACGCTGACAACTGTGAGATTCGAACTCACGCCTCTTGCGAGAACGCAATGCAGCCCCTTTTTTAGGGGAAGGATATTAGTCCTTGAGTGCGTCGCCTTAGACCACTCGGCCAAGTTGCCGTGAATGCCGTTGTGGAGACGAGCCACACGAGAGTAGAAGAGCAGCTGGCTTGGGGAGGCTGGGTTCGTTCACCTGCAGGAGATAATGGTCACGGTTGGAACCAGACTTTGCCATTCTCCACTTGCATCCACATGTGGGTGTTACCCCCGGCCAGTTATTTTTCACCTTACAAGGTCGCCGTGACTCCAACCTACGCATAAGCGTGAATGGAGTCCCGAATCAACTTAAAGAAGTACCTGTCCGATACCGGAGCCTTTTCCTTGCAGCCCGTTCTGAAGACGACGAAAAGAAACAACCTTGTTTGTGCCTTTACATGTGTTTAGGTTGCCAGTTCACAAAAAGGTTCGGAATCAAGTTAGCTGAAATCACTAGATCGACTCACTTCGCCATCCTGGGCACAAGGGTGGACATCGTGAGGGGAAACAGGCAGGGGCTATACATGGCAAAGTGGCTAGGTTTGGGAGAAGAGACTGAAGAATAATGATAGTCGATAGGCAGTAGGGCGGCAAGGTCCCGTGCATCAAACCTCCGGGTACACGTCTCTGCGGCAAAGTCAGGATCGAGGGATAACCAGAAATGGGGGCTCGGAACCTACGTCCGTCTGCGCAGCGGCACCTCCGTCCTAACCTTCCGCAGCAAGTTGTGGTCGATCACGGCAGTACCTATCTTGGGGCCGTCGCCGGCGTCTCCAAGATCGGCTAATACCGTACCCCATGGGTCGATAATCATGCTATGCCCATAGCTCACTCGTTTCTCAGTTGTGGTTCCCGACCTGGCGCCAGCCTCAGCAAATGGCACTAAGACACCAATGCTTCCAATGCTAAATAGCAACATCTGGCACGTACCTGAGCAGCAGCAATAACATAAGACTGCGTCTCGACGGCCCGAGCCCTCAACAAAACCTCCCAAGTGCGCCTTTCCGGTGGGCACGGTGAAGGCGGAGGGGTAGGTGATGATGTCGGCTCCGAGGCGTCTCAGAGAGATGCTGATCTCAGGGAATCGCAGCTTCACGACGTCAGACAGTGAGACATGGCAATGTCAAGTAATACCAACATCGAAACATATTGTCGATCCAACCTTGCCCACCGGCGTGTCGAACGGTGGCTCGATGCGCATGCCCCTCTCGACGGACCTGAAAACGCCGGCGTCAGACCACCTACAACGCTGCACGAAAACAACTCAGGGGCCACACACTCGCTCTCCTTCAGCACCGGCCCCCCCTCAATATCCACGTCAAACAGATGAATCTTCTGGTACCGATGCACAATCTCACCACGCTCGTCGATCCACAGCACAGTGTTCTTGAGTTTGTGGCCGTCGGCGGCGGGCTCGTGGACGCCGACGTGGATGGGTAGTTTCCAGCGGCGAGCTTCGTCCTGCAAGGCCAGCACAAACTCGCTCTGGTCCACGGGCTTGGCGAGGCTGATGCTTTCGGCGGCCGAGGCGGCGATGTAGTCGCTTGCTTCCGGGAGGAAGAGGGCCTGATAAGGGCAGCCAGGAGGTCAGTATCGATCGTGTGAGACAACGGCGGCGCAGTCGTAGACTAGGTAGAGAAGTGGTGAGGGAATGCATGGGGGAGTGGGGGTAGAGCTGACCTGGGCGCCGGCTTGGGTTGCTTGTTGCACGAGGGTGCGGCACTGGGCGAAATTGTGGGCGAGGTCGGAGGTCGAGGTAAACTGGCCTATGGCCTACTCACAACAGCGGAGTCAGTCACAAAGACCGATTCAGCCGCAAGGGGCGGGCATAGGTGGGGGACCCTTTCCGAGGTTCCAAGGTGTCATCCTTCTCGCTGAAGCAAGAAGTTCAGAAGTTCTGGGCCCGGGGCCGTGGCTTACTACTAATGGAGCTTTCTCATGTCCCAAATTGCCAGAGATGTCAACTTGTTTAGTTTTGTCCGCCATTTTACTCTTGCATGGGTCGGCAGTGTAAACTCCTAGGGTAAACGGTGTGGCTCGTCAGGATGAGTGAAGAAAGTGATAGACTGACAGTGGCAGGAAGCAACGCCGAAAGCCCCGCACAGGCTAGCTGTGTCACGCAATCTCCGGCGCTCTCGGCACTGTATTCCGCAGTGGAGTTGATTCGCGCGCTTCCTCCTCAGAACCTAACACAGAAAAGCCTACATTATTAAGTAGAGGGAGTGAACTTTAGCCACCCACGGATTCTTCGATATATGAGCCCAATAGATACGTGCGTGGCATTCACGGCATCACGCTCATCACGTCTGCTCTGTTTTCGGCAGATATTGTTGGGGACAGGCCTCAGTTGTTGTCACCTCCTTCCCCCCGAACCCGCTTGGCTGTGGTGCCAATAAGCTTTCACACCATCCCGATCTGGCTAACGTTTCTCAGCCAAGCCTCCCCTATCGAACCATCACTATCACTGCCGGACTTGACACGCCGTTCCGCCCCAGGCCCCATCTTCCCAGGAAAGGTTTGGAGGGGGAAAAGGTTTCGGAATTTTTGGGGGGTCCCAATTGCCCAATTTTCCAATTTGGAACCGGAACCACCCCCCCCCCCCCCCCCCGGGATGGGTGACCTTGCCAGCGTCTGCAAGCCGCAGATTGCTGCAGTTGCTCATCAACAACAGGCGCAGGTAACCTGCCGATTGGTGCACCACCAGGCCCCTTCTCGGTTACCGGCATATACGCGGCTAAGGCCATTCGGGGTTCGGTGAGGAGCCGAATTAGTCCAAATCGACCATTCCGGTGCGCAACAAGCCATGCACCCTGCGCACCGAGCACAGCGCTACTGCCGACACCGGCCTTGCAGGGTTGTGTTTGGTGTCGGGCCGGTTTCTCGTCTCTGTACCTGCTGCTGGCTGCACCCCGAGACAGACTGTTGCACAGTCCGGAGATCCGAATGGTGGAACACGCGGCTGGCCTTGGGTCCCCGGCCATGCCTTGGCCATGGGGTTTCGTGTGACAGGAGCCAGCCGCAGGAGTCACAAATGCCGACACTCAGGGGGAATCGCTCATCACCGTGGTTAACATGCAGGGAAAATGGTGAGCGTAGGCAAGGTCACGGCATCAGCCCCAAGCTTCATGCACCCCTGGTTGGCGAGTTGTGATAACCTCTTCCAGCTCTCGACGACGGGCTCGGCTCCGACCTAAAAATATCAGGCTGGCTGAAATCTAATGACGTCGATTTCCATGCGACACGGTGGTGCTTGAGTGACCTTGGATGATGCCGAGGAAAACCTCGGGCGAGAATCAGTCAGGGGTTACGGCATTTGGCTGCAAAGTTGCACCAAATCCAAATTACAAGCACCTACAACTCATTTCTCTCGATTTGCCTTCCTACCATAAATTTTGAATGATGCGGACTTCAGAGGTTCTCCTGCGACTTATCAGTTGTTTGGCGATCAGCGACGGCGCGAATTGTGGGCCCGTTTTGAGAAAAAATCTCCTATTATCCATACTCCCGCTATGCCCTAAAGGCGTGCGGACCCCTCAGCTATTTACTGTACAGGAAAACCGTGCCCTCGCGGCCCGGATGAAAAATCCAGCCCGACTATTAAGGAGAATACGTGTGTGGGAGCCTAAGAATACAAAGGGAGGAGACCCCCTGCCTTCCGAAAAAAAAAGGGGGGGGGGGGGGGGGCTGTTAGGCCGCCGCTTCCAGCTCGAGCCTCCTTGCCAAACTGTACATCGGCAGCCTCCCCGAGTCCATCATCCAGCCCAGGACCCTCCCCGTGAGCCGTGCCGTTGCAGGATCAATACCGTGTAGAACAGAGTAAAAGTCCCGTTGCGTTCGAATTCCGGTTCTCTCCCATCTTCGAGTCAGCGGTGGGGCCAAGCACCACACTGCCAGGTGTTCGGCAGTCTCCCGTCCCTCCCCGCACTCGCAGGCGGGCGTTAGGGCCTCTGGGACCCCTCGCAAAAACAGATAATCCCGTAGGCCTATTGCTCCCTTTCGGATCTGGATCAGCAGAGAACTCTTTGCCTTGCTGAGACCGTCGTGCCGTCTTAGGGTTTCATCTCGGAATATCGTCTCCCGCTGATGGTCAAAGTCGTCCGCCGGTCTGGTGATCGCCCTGCCGTCCCGTTCCTTCAGCCACCTCGCTTTCCAGGCGTCTTCTACTACCCTGTCCGTGTCTGCGATCCCCCCGTCCAGCGCGCGATCGTGCTCGCGGCTTTCTCCACCGCCGTGGGCTCCCGTAGCCCTACGGTTCGCGGCCGGCCCCTGTTGCCGCTCCTCGAGCGTAGTCTCTGTTGTATCTTGCTACATGCGGTAAGAATAACGCTCCCTGCGATCTTCTTGCCGCCTTGGCCGTCGTCTAGGTTGGTTCGCTGGAGTCTGGTCTCAAAGTCCGCAAGCCTTTTGTTGAGATATAGGTCCAACGGTGGCACCCATGTCTCCGTCTCGAGGTTGCGGATGGGGGGGTGTGCTTAAAGGCTCCCGCTACTTGGAGAACAATATCAAGAGCGCGGCAAAGGACAATACTAACTCAGGCCGACTATTGCGGAACGCGCTTAGCCACCTGAATCCTGAAGGGACCACCGTTCACCACTCTCATTGTACCCTGCAATAGGCTACGTCTCATGAAGGATGGTATTCTTTGATGATAGCCCGCCCAAAATTGAGTCGGTGCCGAGGAGGAGATGGTCTGCTCCGTTCTGGATCTTGGGATTGTTCTTTCAGAGCAGAATAGGGGTTCGTCTGGTTTAGGAAATCCTTCATGTCCGAAACGACCACCTCAATTTCAGCTGTTGTGTGGTTAATCATCATCTCCATCACAACGCTTCTCAAAAAATGACACTCGAACTTCTCACCGTGTCCTCATCAACATCTGACTGACTTGTACTGCTCAAGTGCCGGTCGCTTTAGAGCCATCAACAGAGTCACTCAAAACACCAACATCAACACCAAAACGGCTCCACGAGAGAAGCTACAACACCACCATCACTTGACCTGAACCTTTTAACCACTTCTTTCTGTTCCACACTTTCTTCAGCTTCAACCCCAACAAGACAACCATGTCCAACACGACATCCCCCCCACCGGGGCTCCCGCCCCAAGCCCAAGCGTTCAACCCGCTCAACCAGAGCGCCTTCCTCCTCTACGCGGACGGCACCAACCCAATCCCTTCCAACACTTACAGCGTCACGGAGATTTACCTGCAGGCAACCTCGCTGTCCATCCTGTACGGGTCGCAGATCGGCGCCTGCTTCATGATGCTAGCCGTGGTTCTGGGCATGACACCCCGCCCACGGTTCCGGCGGCTGCCGACGCTGATCAGCGTGGCGGCGCTGGCGCTCAACACGGCGCGCATGGTGCTACTCGCCGTATTCTTCACCACATCCTGGGTCGACCTATACGTCATCGTGTCGCAGGGCGCCTCGGTCGTGCCGCGCTCTGACTTCAGCCTCAGCGCCGCCGCCACCGTGCTCAGCGTGCCAGTGACTGTGCTCATCCTCGCTGCGTTGACGGTGCAGGCTTGGTCCATGCTGCGGTTGTGGTGTCCCATGTACAAGATCCCTGCTAGGGTGTTGTCGCTGGTGCTAGTGCTGCTGACGCTCGCGTTCAACATTACGACCACGGTGATCCAGGCGCGGGCGATTCTGTACGCCGACATCAGCCAGATCGCCGACTGGGTGCGCCAGGCCTACCTGGGGCTGATCACGGCCTCCATCTACTCGTTCTACTTCCTCTTCAACATCCGCCTCGTCATGCACATGTGGGGTGCGGGTTGAGGTGGGTAGGGCGGGGATGAAAGGGGGGGGTGGGGGCGGTGCTGATGGATGGGGGAACGTACCGGGAACAAACATCAGGATGCCGTTGGTGATGACGATAACATCCATTGCCTTGAGGCCCTTCAGGCTGGGGGAGGATGCTGCGGTTGGTCCCACCCACTAGCACCCTCCCCCCCAGTAATCTTCGCTGCCCTCGAATTCATCCAATTCGACCGTTTCGAACCCGGCTCCATCACCCAAACCTCCGTGATCATCGTGCTCCCGCTCGGCACCCTCGTCGTCCAACGCCTCGCCAACCCAGCCTGGTTCGGCACCGCCGCCCACACCGACTCCACCTCCTCCTCCGCCGCGGGCGGCGGCGGCGGTTCCGCCTCGGCCAACACCACCGGCACGGGACGCGGCAGCGTGCTCTCGCGCGGCGGCCTGTCGGGCGTCACGGCCACGAGCGTCACTAGTGCTAGTAGGCGGCCGTTGTTGACCAGTGTGAGGAGTAATAGCCGCAATGCAATCTGAAGTTTGAACCAGCCCGACGCCTCCCCTCCCCGACCAAACTCCGACCCGACCCAACGCAACCTCCGATCCTCCAAGTTAAACCACCTCGGCCTCCTGCACCGCCCGCTCAAACAGCAACTCCGCCTAAGAGCCACCCGTCGGCAAGCGCTCCTCCCGCCGCTCAATCCCATAATCCACCCTTACACCACCACCACCCCTCTCCAAATCCTCCCCACCCCCCACCACCCTCCCGTTCCCATCCCCATCCACCCACATCGCATGCGCTTTCTCTCCCACCTCCACCTCACTCCCAGCCCTAATATGCGTCTCCACCCTCCCACCCCCATCCCCCCGATGCACCCCCCCCACCCACACTCGTGGGTTTCAGGTTGTTCCTTTCAGGTTGGGCGTTGGCCAGATTGATCATCCAGGGTTGCGCGCTGATTTCCTTGGTCAAATACTTTCTTGACTTGCCGCTGATGGCGGATTGTAATTGTATTCCCTGGGCTGGTTGTCCATCCCAGACCCTTCAGTTCGGGCATCTTGTCTTAGTCATAAATTATCGTCGTTGATTGTGGTGGATGTCGGTTTGCGGAATGTCTATCCAAAACAGTGCGGCCTGAGAACTGTGGGCTTGAATGTCACCGTGTCCAAGGAAGGTGGTGTTTTGGTCGTTGTTCCACTCATGTTCATGGCCCCTTCCTTGGGGTCTCGCTCCAATCCGTGCAGTCCAATGGTGCGTTCTTTCCTTCTTCGGGTGAGATAAGATTCCCAACCTCGATCTGGAAATTAAGAAGCTCCTGTGTTCGAACCCTGGGTCCCTTCGCCCTCCTTCCAAGGTGGTAGCCACGCGTCCATATTCTGCTCTAGATGGCTTGGTCGCACTGAAAGATTTCAACGCAGCGCAACGACATACACTATTTCAGCCTATGGAAGACTTGGACATTTTGCCCGCTCGGCACTTCTCACACTCGAACCTCAGGCCGGAGCCTCTACGACTACCACGCAGGATTCATTTGGGCCACCAGAACGAAAACCTGCACTCGCCTAGCAATCATTTTCACACCGACAAACCAACCCCGAGAAAGCACCGACCAAACACAACCGAACGAGGAGAGACGGCCGGTCTCGTCAGACCAACAACGTCTGGACTCGCCGTCTTAGTGGCCAAATTCGAGATGCTCGGCGCTGCCGGTGACGGTAACGCAAGAGCCTTTCGACAACCTGCTAATCTGGCCCTGTCACAGTCGATCACTTCTAAACCGCCCGCTTGTACGCAAGCTCCATTGAGTAGACGGACACGCCACAAAGGCACCGATCAACCCCCCATTCCTGCTCGTGGGACTTCCAACGCCGCCGCCGACAAGATTACAGCAGCAACCCTATCGTTGGCCGCAATGATACGCAGCGATCTTTCCAACCTAAACACAGACCAGGAAGCATGGGAAGATCATACGCCGGAAGGACCGGCAGACAGCGGCACATCTGGGGACTAGGTGTCTCCGAAGGCTTCACCGGATCCGATTGTGATAGACGTAAAGCACACGGCCACCACCATACAACAGGTTGGTCGTGCCACTGAAGTGTGGGTGTGCAGGGCCCCGCTATCCGTGGCAGAGAGGAGGAAGGTATTTGAGGGACAAGCAGGTTCGTGTAGCATGCCTCACTCCTCATCCGAAACCACCGTTAACCCACTAAAGCCTGTAAAAAGAATATTGCTGTCGCAGCTCATGCTTTCACACCGGCTACTCCGCACTCTCAGAAGACTCTAGTTCACGACAAAAAGTCATTGTCCGAGCCGAGAGCGTACCCTCGTGTTACCGATCCCCAAGGGCCACCGCCAACTAGCTTATTCCCAGGAACACGGTGCCGAGATCCTGCCACACACCGTGGACTACCGTCATGGGAGCGTCGCCCCCAGTGGGTTACCGATTATCAGCAAACAAAAGAGAGCCAGAATAAACGCCCCAGCGTCGCAGATCTGCGGCGAGCCTTTGACCCACAGCAGTGCCCCAGACCCGGTGGGCTATTCAGTGCCTCGCTCCCAAACACACCGAACCGAACATGGCCTGTCAGCTCCGGGAGACCGGACGGAATGAGGAATCAGTCAACCGCGCGGGGCTCGAGGCCACAGCTGCGTGGACAGGCCCATCGCCGAGGCGGCATCAATGTTGCACCTTCTCCAACTCGAATCCCTGAACCACAGAATAAAACCCATGCCCGGCGACGCGCAGAGACACCCACCATCAGGCAAGCCGAAGGAAAGGGTCTTCGGACAAACCTCATAAATGAACTGTCGCGAACTATGAGTCGGAGGAACGGAGGTCCCAAACAGGACCGCAGTACCGATCGAACCTTGATCGATGCGTCAGGTTCTACTTGGTCGGATTCAGAGCCATTGCTGCTGTCAAGGACGGTTTCTGCCGAAGGTCGCACCATTTGCGACTCAAGCGATGCTAACACTGAAGGAATGTCGCCAAACAAAAGAATTGTCCAAGGTGCTGCGGAGCCCTATGTGAACTCTGGGGACATCCTGAAAGTTTCTACAGGGACAACAGGAGAGGAACCAGCGTTATATATCCAACACTGGAGGACGAAGGGGGATAGAAGATCATTGAAGTCCAGTCCAAGCCTGCCGAAGATTATCCATACGACCATTGCCGCAAGCACCCGGAGCAGCATACGCCAGAGTTCTTCCCCAGATACTAGTAGCCTAATACACCACGGCGTAACGCCGACGGAGTCAACGCGCATCCAACCGCCCGCACTTTACACAGGCCGGTCGGGAGGTGATACTGCAGGGGGAACTTCCGAGGCCTTTGGAAGCGATGTGGCAAAGTCAACAGAATCATCTCCAGTGAAAGAAAGAATACATTTGTTCGAAAACATGGGTCGCCCCCTAAACATCCAGGAGAGCGCTGCGCCAACGTCTCGACGCAAGGCGGGAGAACCACCCAAAATCATTGCCGAAGGATTGCACGTGGAGAAGCGGCAAACCATGGCAACGCAGGCTCGCATCCCAAACGCTGCGATCCGTGTCCCTGACCGGTCGCCGAAAGGTGGATGTCACGAAGGGCCGCAACGAACCCATCTCGAGGATCCCAATCTTGAAGAGACATGGGCAAGCAGCCGCCACTGGCGTCGGCTCACCACAGCCTTCCTTGCCAGATCCCAAGCGGGAGTCGAGCTTTTCGTTCAAGGCCACGTTCCGGAAGATCTCAAAATCCAACAAGAACTTCGAGAGCAGACTACCCTCCGTAACCAAGACCGTCACTGGCTTCAGGGCAACACCCTCCCTCGAGCTCCTCAACAAGACTGCCAAAATTGCCCCTCGGCCTATCCACAAGGCCCACCTGAACGCCAAACCTACCCCCGCCCACAGAAGCAACGGCACGCCAAACGAAGACCACTCGGCGTGGACCAAGCCACCGACCCACGTAAATAGCAATACTGGCATGACCACGGGTATGTCATGGGGCCGCCGCGCTGCAGCTGCGGCACTGGACATCGGGCGCCGCTTCAAGACCCAAACTCAGACACAAACCCGCAAGGCCAGTACCTCGGGGCCGTCGGCCCTGTCATACACACCGCCAGCGAACACCATCCCCGGTAGTATCGTGGGGGGTGACGGTGGGGAATCCTATGGCGACGAAACAGTTATGGGCGTGGCACTAACGGCAGGGGATGCTGAACCCGAAGTGGGATGGCACTCACGCTCGGGTATGGCCATGGGTGGCATGGTGCCGTCGGGGTATGGCTGTGATCGCGGGGGGTAGGACGCTGCTGCTGCTGTTTCACCGGGGCTGCTGCTGCCGGGTGTGGTGGTGGTGGCGGCGTCGGAGTGTAGGTTGGTGCATCCGCGGCCGGCGAGGGTGGTGGATCTGGGGAGGATTCAGGGGTTTGGTGGTGTGTGTGTTGGTTGAGTTGTGGGGTGGTGGAGGGCGTGGGGTAAGGGGCGGGTGTTAGGGTGAGATCGTAGTGTCGTTTGGACGGGGATGCTGCCCATATTATGGTCTGGATTATCATGAGATTGGGGCTGCATTGTTGGCTCGGTGTTAGTTTGGAGGTTGGTGTTTTATTTGCATGTCTTTTCTTATGGTTTAGGTTAATTACAGTAACAATGCGTAGCCCGAAGCCCAAGCTTCTGCATTACAAACGATATGGTTTATGCACCTTGTCGCCCAAGTTGAGACAGCATCCCACGAGGCCGGGAAGCTGGGCAAACACTCCATCAAGTAAGGGGGACAAGCTTTCATCGATCTTGATATTCTCTAACCCCTTCTACAAACATACCATACCCCACACCTTATGTCATGACACATTCAAGATCATCCCTCATTCAGGATACTTATAAACACAACTCTCCCACGACTAGCAACCCCCCTCTTCCTCTCACCCAAGCCCTTACTCGGCCATCACCTTCACTCAGCCCTCCGCCAAGCCCATCCCCCGCCCAATCTTCCTCACCAACGCCTTCTTCAGGTACCACTCCCGCGCCAGCCCGCGCGTCATCTTGGCAAACGTCTGCGGCGCGATCCGGCCGCGCTCCACCGCGCGGCCCAGCACGAAGATGGCGTCGGCCAGCGCCCGCTCCTCGGCCACCAGCTCGTACAGCTGGTTGCCCACCACGGTTGGCGCCACCAGCAGCTCGTCGATGTCCGGCTCCGGGTGGCTCGCCGAGTTCTCGATCACCCCGTCCGCCTGTCGTAGTGAGTCCTGCAGGATGGCGGTGTTGGAGGTGAGGAGCGCTGTGAGCTGGGTCAGTTGGGCGGACTCGGCTTGGATGATGGCTAAGGCCTGCTGCATGGCGGCGCGCTGGGCGTGGAGGCCTTGGAGGGAGGTGGCGTTTTGGGAGAGCGCTTTTTGGCGGTGCATGTAGAGGGTTTGGGCGAGCTGGTGGAGGAGGTGGTCTTTTTCGGGGTTCGGGGGGATTGGTGGGGCGGGGACGGCGGAGGGGGAGGGGATGGAGAGCGTGAGGTCGTCGTCCATTAGGTCGGGAGGCGGTGGTGGTTTTGGTTTTGGCTGGGGTTGCACGGGAGGCGGCGGTTGTTGCCATGTTGGCGGAGGGGTGCTGTACTGTTGGGGGTGTGTGAGGTTCGCCATGTGCCGGGGATCCACGGGCGGGAGGGGCTGTTGCGAGCCCGGGGAAAAGCCCGCTGGTGGAGGCCCTTGATACTGCGGAGGGTGAGAAGGAGGGGGATGTTGAATCTGAGGGTTCTGGGCAGGAGCAGGTAGCGGGCCTTTCTGCGCCGGTGAAGGTCGTGATGCTTGCGGCGGCAGGGGAGGAGCTGTCTCGTAACGCGAAGGGCCAGCTCTCGCGGGCTCACGATGCGACATTGGTCGCCCGTTCGGCGCATGGTGACTTGGCTGCCCACCAACCTTTGGTGGAGGGGAAGGAACTGGGGGGCCTGCTTGCTGAACCGGGGCCGGGGAGGGTTGTGGCCGAGGCGCGATATGGGCCGCGGTCTGGGGCCCCGGTTTTGGGGGGGGTGGAGGCGGTCGCGCATCGTCGGGTGCCGCGGATTGTACTCGACTTGTAGGCCTCGGGGCGAGGTCCGGAGGCAGCGGAGGTACGGGAGGTGGTGTGTTCATTTGTCGGGCGGGAGGAGGCGGCCCCTGTTGGCGGGCAACAACCGGTGGCTCCTTGGCAAAGATATCTTGTAAAATGGCGAGGAAGTCCAGGATGGTGGACTTCTAGTCCATAATCAGCCATATGTCCCGTGACTTGATAACCCATTACAGCTTACAATCCCAGAATGTTGGCGAATCCACCACGTAGGGGTGATAGACCTGGCCCTGTGGATCAACGTGCTGCCCAGGACGGACCACCATGGTCTCGGTCGGGGTCACGTAGGCCAGGGGGGGCTCGCGTGGGTAGGCGTGCGGAACCCATATCGAGATCGGGAATCGGTAGGTTGCGCCGCGGAAGAGGACCGGTATTGTGCCCGAGAGGTGGAGAAGCAAGGCAGAGTTGCCGTCGGGGAATGCTGTAAACACATGGTCAGCCCAGGCCACAGGCTACCGCCAAAACAGAAATACCGGAGATTGAACTGCGTACTGTGGACATCGGTTCGCGGAGAGAGAGATGGATACTGCGACAAGGCCTGGGCTACATCGTTGTAGGTTCGGTTGACATCGTGATATTCCTGGGGGGCGGGGGAGAGGGGTCAGCTTCTTGGCTTCGATCGATGAGCGAGTCCGGGCGGCGCACACTTGTCAAGACGCTGTAGAGCCAATTGAGAACATGTTGTTGGACCACCATGTTGGGTGTCGTGGTCGCGTCAAGGCGCTATCAATGCATGGCCTTGCACTGTTGGTGTGTTCGTTGCGGGAGCCCGTAGGCAGCGCCATGCCGTCGGCGCTCGTTGAGGTTCTGTGGAGGTGCCAAGCCCCTCCGATCGCGTGCCTTGGCGCGCCATGACGAAGCCAGATTGCTTGGCGGGGTGGTGGCCCAAGCTCCTCAGCCCTTGCCTGCCGGGAACCAGTTCGGCTGCCGACGGCAGTGCAGGCATGCGGCGGTCGACCCTGCATCGTCTGTGGCGCGCTTCCTCGTGTGACCCCACATGAACACCACGCCACATGACGAGGTTCTGCATGTTCCGCATCGAATTTCGCCAATGTGAACCCCGCGCCCCATGGCAGCATTGACTGACATCGACACCAGTCGGGTTTCAGACGTTTTTATTTCAAGAAACAGGGGGGCTGATGCTTCAACATCCCGCCCCCAAGGCCGGTAAAGCCCGCGACCAGCCGGAAGATACGGCAATGACGGATGACGCGAAAATAAGAGAAGGTCACCGTTTCGGGCTGGCCGCGGCCGTTGTCGGCCCAGGGCACAGGTAGGTCCTCGGAATCGGCCAACAGCAACTCTTTGTGTGCGATATTTTCTCTTCGTCCCCACCGGGCTCTAATGGATAGAAGGGGATTAGTGTTTTCCAGAAACCCGATGCCGCACGGTGGAACAATTAAGCACAGAAACGAAACAGCGCCAGGGGCGAACTTTGTGGTCGTCTGAGGTTTGGCGATTACAAAGAGGGCCCACTCCTCCGAGCCAGAACCTGCGACCGCTTGCTCGACTCATCATTGTCCTTCCTTCCCAAACAGTGGTCTTGACTGAGTTTTCTCCTTCCAACTGTTTTTTACATGCCCACGCCACATCTTAGTTTTCGCACGGCTGAGGGGTATTACAGAACTTATTCTGTATACTCCTTGCGTCAGGATCTTTCTCATCTATCTTCCTTAATCTCATAGGAAACAACAGCATTATTTTCCGCTCCCCATTGGCTAGTGGCAGCGAATTGGCTTATTCTTGGTTGCACAGTCCCAAGAAACAGCACCTAAACCCCAGCGAATCCAGTCGGGTCCGTCCCACCATCGGAAGCCATGCTTCCTTCGATCCCCGTCTTGGCCGACTATGGAATTTCTCCAACCCACGGCTTTCTCCCAGACGTCCTGCCGTTGACGCGGCTCCCGGATCCCTACTACAACAAGTGGGAGGCCATCGTCGCCAACCTACAGGGCCTCATCCTCAGCAGGCGGCTGCGGGGAGTCGTCGATCGCCTCCCTGTGCTCTCCACCATCGGTCTGGAACATGACGCAGAATGGCGCAGAGCCTACATGTTGCTATGCTTCATGGCACACGGGTACATTTGGGGTGGTGACAGCCCCAGTGACCGCCTGCCGGCCCCCATCTCCGTCCCGCTGCTGGAGATCGCCGAGCACCTTGAGGTGCCTCCCGTCGCCACCTACGCTGCGGTGTGTTTGTGGAACTTCAAGCCTCTCTTCATGGACGAGGAGATCGATAATCTCGAGAACCTCGCCACCCTGACCACCTTCACCGGCTCGCTCGACGAGTCGTGGTTTTACCTGGTTTCGGTGGCCATGGAAGCCCGAGGAGCCCCCATCATCCCGCTCATGCTGACCGCTATCGCCGCGGCTCGTGAGGACGATGCAACAACGGTGACGAGCTGCCTCAACACGTTCGCCGAGCGTGTGGACGACCTTTCCGCTTTGCTGCAACGCATGCACGAGAGCTGCGACCCGCACATCTTTTATCACCGGATCCGCCCCTTCCTCGCGGGGAGCAAGAACATGGCCGACGCCGGCCTACCTCAGGGCGTCATCTACGAAGACGGTTCCGGTAACGAGACCTATCGCCAGTACGCCGGTGGCAGCAACGCGCAGAGCAGCCTTTTCCAGTTTTTCGACATTGTCCTCGGCATCGAGCACCGCCCGACAGGCGAGAAGAAGGCCACCTCGGGTGAGGAAGCGGAACGACAGGGCCGGGCTCCGCCGCCGAACCACAACTTCATCTCCGAGATGCGCCGGTACATGCCAGGCCCGCACGCCCGGTTCCTCGGCGACGTGCAAGCCGTGGCTAACTTGCGTGGCTATGTCGAACGGAACAGCGCCAACCGCCCGCTGGCCGTCGCCTATGACGCCTGCCTATCCATGCTGCGCTCCCTGCGCGACCGCCACATTGCTATCGTCACTCGGTACATTGTCATCCCGTCGCGCGAGGTCCGCGCTCGCAGCCGAAGCCCTGAAACCACTCGCCGCAGGGTTAACCTGGCCACCGGCTCCCGTCAGCGTGCGCCGGGCATCGCGTACCATGCCGAAGAGCCAGACGCTGCGAACGGGGGCAAGAAGAACCTAAAGGGCACCGGCGGCACGGCGCTGATATCCTTCCTGAAGCAGGCGCGAGACGAGACGGGCGAGCCCGCCGTAGAGGAGTGGACCAAGCGGTTCATGAGCCGCCGGCCGCGGGCCGAGGGCCAGGGAGACTTCTTCGCCGGTAAGCCCGAGGAGGGGGCCGGCCTCGAGGTTGTGGCGGACACGGAGGAGGTGACGATGCCCGGGCTGGCCGGGAGCTGGACCATGGACGATGACGTTGGCGGAATTTGTAATTACTAGGGGTAAAAGGGGCAGCGGGAGTTTAGAGCGTTTGTAGAGTACAATTTTCCTAATAGACGGGCGTGATACTTTTTGTACGGCAACTGCCATCTCATTTTTCACCGTCATCAACACACACTGGTCACAATAAAGGTTCACACGAGGCGACAGATAAAAAGATTGCGCTAACATGACAGAAAAGCATATTCCTGTCCTATGGTAGTATCCAAAAATGAAGCCAAGCCAAGCAGTCTAAACCAAATACTGAGTGCTCTGTATCCCAAAATCATTCACCTCTCCTAGCCCACCCAACACGTCCGCTAGCCGCACCGGACAGACATGTACCTCTAATTATCACTCCTTCACCCCAAGCCTCGCAAACTCCCGGTCCCAATCCTCCTTCTCCTTCTCTTCCATGTCGGGAGGACTCATCCTCTTCGCACCCTGCTGCCGGGCCCCAACACGCTCACCTTGACCCTCCCCTTGATCTTCACCTTCCCTGTCACCCTTCCCCTCACCCTTCCCCTCATCCTCACGGTCATCATCCCCATCATCATCCCCATCCTGATCCCCCTCCCCCTCCTCCTCCTCTTCCTACTCATGGGTAGCCTTAGCTTGTAAATGCCCCATGTACGCCCCGAAAAGGCCAGGTGAGAATCCGATTGCCTCTGGAGACTCTGCTCCTTCTGGGTAGGGGCCAGCCTCATCGATCCTCGCACTCCGAGAAGCATAAAACTCCACTTCTATGGAGAATACAAAGGAGGAGTTTTGGACAGCTCTCCCCGCCAGACCCCCCTTCAC